CCCCAAAACCCCAAAACCCCAAAACCCCAAAACCCCTCAATTTTAATAACTCATTGAACAATGGATTTTATATATCAAATGAATATAGTAGATCCCTCAAGCCTAGCTTAGCTTCCTGGAATTGATCATTTGAGCAATCTACAGCTTTTCCTAACTTGTTTTTAAGCCTTCTCTGAGCATATGAGTGTGGCTTGGTATCAACATCAATATTGTTTGGTAGTGAGCTATCATCTGGAATATTTTCAGATGTTTCAGATTCCCAGGAACGTAAGTTTCGTAATGCGGTATCACCAGTTTCTTCAAAAAGTTGTTCTTGGATGATATCTAATGAATCTTCTCTTTCTATTAATTATTAGAGCAGTATACCTAAGTCATCATTTTCTTCTTTAGAAGACCTGAGCATTTCGTCTGGCTTGTGGATAAAAGCTTCATCAATAGCAAGGTCTAAAATATGTTTTATGAACTTACCTAAATCCTGCAAATTTTTCTCATCTTCCTCCCTGAATTTTGGCTTTTTGACACTCCGATTAGAGTTAGAATTTAGTGTGGTATAGTTACTAAAATCTTCATTTGTGGGAAGGGATATTTCTCTCAAAAGAGCATTTCGATGATCATCGATGTCTTTCATTCATCTATGATTTATTCTACTTCCAGACTCAAGCTTCTCTTTATAAATATCTTTCTCCTTCTGTATGCACCTAGCAAGCTCTTGTCTATTGATAAATTTATCAAAGGCTTTGTGGTTCAAATTCGTTGGAGTCGGATCTTGGCTTGCTATCGGACTTCTGCTAAGAGATTTTGATTTCTCTAAAGATTAACAACCTGTTTACCTCGAGACACCTTTGGTGTAAATGTACATTCCTCCTTGATCTGGTTTTCTTTTTCTTTCTTCATTTGATTAATCCTTTTCTGTCGAGTCTTTTCCCAAAATTGATTTCGTTTAATCACATCAGCTTCTAATTCTACAGTACCCTCTTCGGTGGATACTTGGTATGTGTAGAGGCTCACCCTGGTCGAAGGGTTAATCTTGGGCTTGAATGTTCACTCTTTTAGAATCTTCTCTTCTTGTTTTAACATGTGCTCCTCCATGAGGACTCTTCGGTACTCCTCTTTCTTCTTCCTCATTTCGTACAGTTCTTGATTTCTATCAATAGAGAGCTACAGATTAGGAAGAAAATGCATACTCTGGGGCTTTTGGACATGTAAAAATTCCTTTTGGATTTAGAATTATTCAATATTTTCCCAGTAGGTGGTAACCTCTTCCTCTCTTCGGTAATCTTAGGCATTGGTGACTTGTAATTCTTAAACTCTCATACAGAATATGATCTGCTCTCTAGTCCTTTCCCAAGCCCCTTCCTATTAAGTTGATCTGTAGAATTATTCCTGCTAAGGTAGAGTTTTTCATGAATAGGAAGAGAACTCATTTGGGAGCTCTCTGAGCTGAAACTAGAGCCGCTTTGGTTATACATAGACTCCCTTCTTTCAATAATAATCCTTGAAACTGGGTTAATATCTGGCTTGAACAGGTGTTTTGATTCTTTTCTAAGAATAAAGAAGTGTTGTACCTTTGAAGTTTCTGTATTTTCTTTTCCTTTCTCTCCTTCCATTTATACAAATCTTCAACTTTATTTGTTATTCTTAAAATTATGTTTTGGCTTTTCGATATTTTTGCTTTCTTTCTTGGCTCTAGTGCTTAGACTTTGGGTGAAGTTACCTAGAGTTTCTGCTACCATAGTTGAAACTTCCTGTAATTTGTTCTCGTACAGTTTTATGCTGGATGTTCTTTTTCCGACCGTAAGCTTTGGGCTGCTGAGTTTTGGCAGTTTGCATTCCATCTAGTAGATAATTCATTGTTCCTACTCTTATTATTCCTGCTCTTATTGTTCTTTCCAAGGCTCTGGAGATTGTCTAAGAGCTGCTGTTCTCGTCTAGGAGAACTTTTGATAGAATTTGGCAAATCTCTATTCAAGATGCTCTGATAATCTAATTTTTGATAGAAATTTTACCTTTAAAATTGTGCTTATTTACTCTTTCCCTATAAATTAAGATCCTAAAATACATATAATTGTCTGCTCTGCTTTTCTTTCTTAAATTTTTCTTCACGTTCTTTTTTAAATTTTTTCTCAAGGATTTTTACAGATTTTCTGTTAATCATTGGACTGTGTGGAAATGTACTCAATTGACTCGCTATGCAAACTTGATTAACTCCATTCACAATTCTATCCCCCTGAGTTGCCCACTTATCAAAACCTCTTTAACTTACAAATCTGGCTTCTCTTCTGGGCTACATTTTCCATAGTGTACTTCTTATTCAAAGAGCAAACCTTCGCAGCTGGTTTTGACATCTTCCTACTCACATTACATCCACCATTACCATATTCTATCCACATCTTTCTTCTGTCTAGAAGACTTTTGAGGTGCTTCAGCTGGATTAGGACCTGAAGGACAAGGGGCTGGGAAGTTCTCTTTGTCCTTCGCTTTGGTTTTGGGATTGTGATTGGTGGAGTTTTGTCTGTGGTGAGGGAGAAGGTTACTTTGAGGTAAGATGGGGTTTGGAATTGAAGTGTTTTTGTAAGGCTTTTTCAAGCATTTTTGGATGCTTTTTGGACGGTTCTAGGTGGGTGAGGATGGGAGAAGGGGAATTACCTTTTGAGGAAGGGGTTTTGGCTTGGTATCTTTGTTCTTGTTGACTGACAATGTTCGAAAATGAAGAATGGGAAGAGAGATTACTTTCTCTCACTCCCTCTTCTTGAGATATCAGCTCAGGAACTCTATAGATATTAAATTAAATCAAGAATTTATAGATTTTTCTTACCCAAATGTCATTCTCTGATCAATAACTTCATTCTTCAAAAACCTAGCTGTTTCCATTATGAATTCCAATTTAAAATATTTATTTTAAATATCAACTGTCTTTCTCCAATAAGGGGTTTTGGGGTTTTGGGGTTTTGGGGTTTTGGGGTTTTGGGG